CTAGCGGCGGCTCGTCACGCGGGCGCGGGGCCCGAGCCCGGTCCCGGGCAGCGGGACACGCTGTCAGGTCGCTCCGCTGCTTCTGCCCACCTCCGCCCCCTCGGTCTCTGCGTTTCTCTGCCTGCGTCTCTCGGTCGCTCGGTCTCAGCCTTTCTCGGACCCTCGCCCTCTCCCATCGCGGTCCCTGTCTCTCTAGTTCTGTCGGTCTCTGGCTGTCTCTGTCTCTCGTCCTCCCTCGGGAGACACCACTGGAGGGCGCCTAAAGCCCGTGGATTGCTCAGTCCCCTCGCCACTGCCCCGTCCCCCATCACGCCCTGACCGGGGTGGGGGGGGGAGGGGAAAGCCCCGTCGCTCCCCCAGGGCCCTACCCTGCCCCTAACTGGCCCCACCAGGAGCAGGACTGAGGGCGTGTGGGAAGATGCAAGAGGTGCACCCTTTGTTTTTCAATCAGGCTGCTTTATTCTTTCGTGGTAGGAGCCCCTTGGCCCTAGGAGCCGTATCTCTTCTGCCCGCTCCCACCTCTCCCCACAGCTCCCATTTCTCCAGCTCCAGTCCCTGTGGTGTGGGTAGGAGCAGCTTGCTATCTCTCTGCAAAAGACCTTTAGCGCATGGATCTTTCCTCTTCACTTGGGGCTTCCACAGGCCCTGAGAAGCAAAGAAACACTGTTTATTATGTGAGGGAGAGGGACTGGGAGGGGGCGGTCTATGAACTTTCCCTCCCCTGAGCTCCCTAGATGGCCCAGCTCAGTGGATTCCCCAGTTCCTGGTCAGCTGACATGGCAAGGTGGCGCAAGCCTTCCTGGGCCACTGCTGCTCGGTGCCCTAGCAGTCACACCTGCTCACCTGAGGGGTCCTAGATGTAGTAGAGGGGCACCTCGCCACACAGGGTGCTCACTGTGGTGCCCAGGAAGTCCAGGTCCCCAGGGGATGCTGAGCCAGCATCATGGCCCTCCTCCTGGCCCAGCTTAGAGGTAGACACTGCAGGCTTGACCTGGAAAGAGCACCTAATTTGGAGCCTGGGAACTGAGTTTCTGTCTCACCTATGGCATTATTGTGGGACCTCAGGCGTGTCAGGCCATCTCTCCGAGCCTCCGAAAAGCCCTGCTTTCCTCACCAGTGAAGAGGGGGCTGTGCTGGAGTCAGAAGCCCCCGGGGAGTGAGGTTCAGCTGAGGCCAGCAGTTTGGCATCAGGGAAGGACTGGGGAATTGGTAGGGAAGATGTGGTACAGGTGAGTTTAGAGACGGGCACCTACCTGGCAGCCCCCACGCTTTACAGGTGGCAAATAGCTGTCATCTCAAATGCTCCTCCCAGCAGCCCTGGGAAGGGGACAACCCACTCCTCCTCACCCACACACCTACCTGGAAGTTCTGGAACTTTCTAGTGAGAGCCTCAAGACTTGGGATGTTCTCCGGAGCCATCTTCATGACATAGCAACAGGTTCCTGGGGCTGGCTTATAAGCAATCAGGAGCTGAGCACAGGAAGCCCAGAGTTCATTCAAGAAGGCCCTGCCTTGCTCACTCCCTAACCCTGATCCTGGGCCATCTCCCTCCAGGTTAGGCACCTGAGGGAGTCCTATTGGAATCTGGGGCTCAGCCTGGGGAGGCAAAAGGGCTAGGGGCTGGGGAGAGATGGATGTGCATGAAGTGGCACAGCTGGGTGGCCTAGCAGTCTTGTCATCGGCCCCCAGCCCCAGCCCCAGGATCAGGAAGTCCGGTATACCCACCCGCTGGTAGTCATACACTACAATACCACTGGAGCCAATGGAGAAGGTGGCAGTGGTGCCCACACGCTCCTGCAGGGCCAGGCGCTGCTGGGCTTCCGGTCCCCCAATGCTCATCTCCAGAACCTGGGGGAGGGCACAGGGTGGCCTGGTATTTCTCTTTCCCCACTCATCCCTTCAGTCCCCATGTCCACCCTCAGCTCTAAAGCCTAAGCCGGAGTTGCCACCCTGTTCCTGCTTCTGTCCTTTCTTGAGGCACCCCTTGCCTCCTCCCCTCCATTCCCCCACCCCCCGACAGTTCACTCTCTGCCCAGCCCGCTCAGCCCCTCCGTTTGGCGTGTCCTCTACCCACTGCCCACCCCATTCTGGGCCTGCTCACCATCTCAGTGTGCTTCTGGCTCATGTGAAGACCCATTAGCAGGGCCCCTACAATCACCACGACCACAAGGACTATCACCACGACCACAATGAGAAGGCGTTTGAGGCTCACAGGGCAGCAGGGGATGATGCCAAAACGGCCCTGGTTGGCTGCCGAGTAGTCCTGACGTGGTGGGACAGGCAGGGAGACAGGTATGAGGTCATGAGCAGGGCCCTTCTTCTCTCTGCACAAGCTAGACACCCTCCCAGAGCCGGACACCAATGCTATGGGTTTGCAGAGGAGGGCTGAGATCAGAGAAGGCTTCTTGGAGGAGGTGGTCTGGATTCCAACAGAAAGGCTTAAACATGAAGTCTAGCGTGGAGAGACCCAAGGGAGCCTGCTTCGCCAGTCTCATCTCCTGCTGTTTCCTCCAGACCCCTGGCACCCCAGCCATCCCCATCCCTCTCTGTTCCCCCAAATAATCCATGCTCTCTCACACCTCCCTGCCTTTACACATTCTACCCCTTCTTCCTGCAATGCTTGCCTTCTCCACCTAGTGAGCTCCTACCTATTCTTCTGGAGCCAGCTCAAATGTCCTTTTCTCTGTGAAGCTTCCTGTGACTCCCCGCTTAGTGTCTGCTTACGCGGTGCTCTCTGCAGCCCTTTCCACTGACCACTGTGGTGGCTCTCGGCCCCTCACGTTGGAATGATCAGTTGCCATGTCCATCTCCCCGAAGGACTCTGCCTTAGTGGTTGGTGTCCCTGCCCTAACTTAGCACGGTCCTAGGTTAATGAAGTGAATGAAGGTGGATGAAGACACCGGCTCAGAAAGCTTGGATGAGGCAGGGCCCAGCTCACACACATGTACACACACGGTCATACTCACTGGTGGGCTCTCAATCAGGACCTCCTTGCTGCCCACATCCATCTTGCTGTAGGCGCCTTCCCCTCTCATCTCCCAAGTGTGACTAGGGTCTTATATGTGCCGGTAGGGAGAGGGGACAGAGGTGAAGGATCCGGCCTCCTTCTGCCAGCCAAGCCCTTGGCTTTGAAGCCTGTTTGTTCCTGGCCCTCCAGAACTGAGGTCCCGATAAGCCAGCTGCAAGAGCGCCTGAGGGCCCTTGGCCCTGGCCCATGAGTCCTCTTGGCCCTGGCCAGAGCAAAGCTGGGTGTGCTGAGCAAACTTGCCCTTGGGCAATCTGCACCTCCCACTGTAGGTGTCTTCCTGGCATTGGCCGCCTTTCTTGCTGGCACCTGCCCCTGCAGTCTTGTGGCTTTTCCTGTTCCTCTGCCAGGTTGAACCTCTCAGGCAGCCAGGGGTCTGACCCAATGGGGAGTCCACCACACTTCCCAACAGAAATCCCCCCGTGCAGAGGGATGAGCTCCAGGAAGGGGAATGAGAAGGCAGTGCCTGTGGACCCAGGAGGCCCTGTTAAGGCAGATGGATGCTTTGGCATCAGTGTGGGGGTTCATATGTGGCCATTTCTCAGAGAGCCTCACATTTTCACTTCAAGTATGCCACCTGCCTGGCCTCCACCCACACATCTGGTACCTAACCTCAAACTTGCCGCTAGTCATTCTTTTCCTAATTCTGAAAACTGTCCCCTCTGGCTATAAATTTTTGCCTACTAATGTATGGTTTTTCATCCTTTGCTATGGGCATGTTTGGAAGCTAAAGGCTTTTCCCCCCTGCTTTTACTTTTATTCACATTTATTTTATGCTGAATTTATTCCCAGGCCATACGTGGTTGTTTCTCCAGTTTCTTGTGGGCTATCTTTCTCATCTGTGCCACCTCCTCTTCTGGGCTGGGAACAATCTGCTCTGTTTCAGGAAGGATCATCTCAATGTGGCAAGGAGAGCTCATGCAGGGGTTAATCCGACCAGGAGCTCTGTAAACTTAATGGCTCATTTGGGGGCTCTGTTCACCTGGATGTGCTCAATGACCAGAGAATCTACATCTAAACCCTTAAGTTCAGCATTACTCTCTGCATTTGTAAGCATGCGCAGCAACAGTTCAGCACTCTTTTCAGGCCGCTGGCCCTGTGTCCAGCCCCACTATTGGGCCCCGGGCACACCTATCAGCTCCACCATTATAATGATGGAATGGCCCACATTGTTTCTGTAAAGTGACTCCAGATACTTGGTGGCTTTGGGGATATACCTGCCCTTGATGATCTGGGCAGTTTCATGAGTGCTCTTAAAATGAATGTGAAGATTTGAACCTCTTGATGGGAATGATTTTGTCGGGTTCTCTGCATCAAGTAAACAGGGAACCATTTTCAGAGATCAAGCGGAAGGCTTTTGATAGCAGATTCCACACCTGACACTCGTTTCTTGTGCCCAGACAGCTTTGCACAGGGCTGGCTGCGGTGACTGATGGGATCCCCATCTCCTCATTCTGGAATCTCACCTGCTTGGTGCTGCCTATGACCCTATCCCTCTAGGCTCCTCTGTTTATACCCTCGGATCCTAAATTTGCCCTGAGAATGCTCCTCACCCCAATGTGATGCACTTTCTGGACCTTCTCCTTCTCCCTTCCATCTCTTTTACCTCCTTCCTCAAAGCCACTTCTGTTGCTTGGTTGTACTAAACTAAATCGACCAATGGCTGCATCCTCTCTTGAGCTTTCCTCCACTTGCTGGGCCAGGTGGTCTCTACGGTGCCTTTCCCTTGGAACTTTCTAAGTGTCGAAGTCAGAGCCCCACCCTCACTCCTCTGGGCCTAACTCCCTTAGCCTCCTGATACTTAAGCTCCAACACTTCACCCCAGTTCCTGTCCCTGGCCTGGGGGCTCCCTTACACCTTGGCCCTGCCCTTCAATCATGAGCTGGCCCCCAGCTCTCCAGCCCTGGAGGGTTGCCCTGTCCCCACGAGGACCTCCTCTTCAGCAGGAGAGCCTTCAGCCTCCAGGTTGCACAACAGCATGGCATCTGAGCTGAGAGTGCCTGAGAAGCTCAGGGAAGGAGAGAGGGGAGGGGAGGGAGTGTTTGCTCCCACCACCCTCCTCACCACCACCCCCAACTGCCCCTTTAAATATTTGCTGAAACCTCTAGCAGCAAGTGTCCTAGGAGCAGTGGTGGGGGCGGGGTCCGGGGAGGAGGGGGAGGCCTCCTCCTCTCAACTGTGTGCAGCCTCCGCTGGGGTATGCAGGAGCCAGATGTAGGAGACAGCTGCCTGTGGTGCCCACCCCTGCCCGCCCCCAGCGCGCCCACTCCCGCCCCGGGTTGTCCTGGCAACGCTGCGATTGATTGGCTGACTCACACGCACTGGGCCTGAGCCAGGTGGGCAGCGGGCCAGCAGGAGAGCCAGGGAGGACTGCAAGCATCTCGGGGTCCCTGTGGGCATCTCAGGGGGCCGCATGGTCCAGCTGTGGAGCTTGTTCTGAACGGGCGCTGTGTGTAGGGCTTGCCATCATCAGCTGGTGCTGAGAAAGGAGTCTCTCTTGGAAAGAAGCCTCTGCTCTCTCAGGTCCTCAGTCTCCCCTGCAGGCTGCCCTTTGGCTGTAATTCTCACAAGCTTTGTGGTTTTTCTTTTCTTTTTCTTTTTTCTTCCACTTGTTTTTGCCTGTTTGGAGGTTGGGGAAAGAAGGTTGCCCTCAAGTTTCATAAGGGGAGTTCAGATGCTAGCACCAACCCCTCTGGCACTGACCCAGTAGAGGTCTTGGGGTCCTCATCTTCGTTTTCAGGAAACGAGGAGGGACCTTTAGCTGGGCATGGATAGCTGTCCCCCGCCCCCCCTGCCCCCCTCCCCACACCCCACACCAGCCCTCTGCTGCAGACTTCTCACGTCTTGGCCTTTACTTAGGCCGTTTCTCCCTCCTGGAAATCCCACCTTCGATGCCTCTCCACCTCTCCGAGTGCCATCAGCCCTACAAGGCCAGGCAAGAGCCAACGGCAGCTGCCCCACCACCTCACTGGCCCAGGCTACGGTGCCCCCTCCCTCCTCCAAAATCTCCTGGCCTCCTGCTGCCCTTTCACCTGCCATTTAGCACGCACTGCTGTTCTCATCAGCTATGCGGGAGTTTTCGTTGCCCTATCTTCCCTGGGACTGGCCCTGAGACCATGCTTTCCTGAGGTTTCTTTGTACCTGCTGCAGGGCAAGGAGCACGACACAGCCAACATGTAATTATATTCAAGGATAGGATGGTCACCAAACATGAAGGGGCTCCAGGTGAGCGGTCAAGAGTTCATTTCTTCAGCGTGTGGAAGTCTTGCTGCTTCACTGGCCAGCTCTGGGACCCTGAATGAATCTGTCTTTCTGCCTTTCCAGGCTTGAGTGTGTTCAACTGTGAAATGGGACTAGTCTGCCTATCCTGTCCCCCTCTCCAAGCTGTTGTGAAGATCCAATGACATCATCAATCCAATCATCATGATTATCATCATCTACTTCATCCCCCAAAACACCTCTTCTCGCTAGCTGAGAATAGGGCCCAGACTCCCCCTTTCTGTCTGTCTCTGGGCTAAATCCCTCTGGGAGAACTGTAGGTGATGCAGAGCCACCCCTTCTATGTGAGCCTCTTCTTTTCCCCCTTCCAGCTCCTCAGCTGCAGGGGCTGGGACAAGATTCACTCTGCCCTTTGTGCGCTGGGCAGAGCCGTGCCAGGGACGGGTGGGGATGGTACCCAGCTGCCCCGGCCGCCCTCCCCACCCCCATTGCTTGTCTTCCCTCACGCTGGCATACAGAGAGCTGCACGAGCAGCTGGATGGGCAGTGGCAAGTGAGCATCAGAGGGACGGGGCATCCCTGCTTGAGAGAACATGGACAGACGTAAGCTCCAATCAGAGAAGCCCCTGCTGGCAGAGGCTGGGGACAGCTGGGGACACATCTTAAACCCAGTGATTTCAGTTTCCTGGCCTGATATGGAAAGAACACTAGACTGGGAGCCCATTCACCTGACTTCCAGGCTCCCCTGGTCCTGTACCCCCGAACTTTTGGCACAGTCAATCCCGCACACAGACCCGCCCCCCCCCAGGGAGGTAACACAGCGGAGAGCAGCAGTTCTCAAACATTTTGGTTTCAGGACCCCTTAACATTCTTAAAAAATATGGAGGACTCCAAAGAGCTTTTGTTTATGTGGGTTATAGCTATTGATATTTACCATATGGATATTTACTGAGAAATTGAAAAGGGTTAATTAATTAATTAATGAAATTGCAATAATAAACCCATTCTATGTTTTAAGATAAATAACACAAATTTAAAAAAATTATTTTACAAAGCAAAAAATTAGACAAGAGTGTCATTGTTTACATTTTTGCAAATCTCTTTATTTTTTTAAATATTTATTTATTTAGAGAGAGAGAGCATGACAGAGGGAGAAGGAGAGAATCCTCAAGCAGACCCCCTGCTGAGCCCTGAGCCCCACACAGGGCTCGATCCCAGGACCCTGACATCATGACCTGAGCCAAAATCAACTTAACCAACTGAGCCATCCAGGTACCCCTTGCAAATCTCTTTAATTTCTGGCTTAGTAAGAAGATACATCATGTAGCCTCTGGACAATTCCAGGGTATTTTCGTGAGAGTGTGAAAGTGAAAAAGTAAAATTAAGTTTTAACATTCTTAGGACAATTGTTTTGACCTCAGTGACTCCCTGGAAGGTTCTCCTGGACTCCCTGGACCACACTTTGGAAACACCTGGTATAGAAGTATGACTGTGGGGGCGCCTGGGTGGCTCAGTCGGTTAAGCGTCTGCCTTTGGCTCAGGTCATGATCCCAGGTTCCTGGGATCGGGTAAGATGTTGGGCTCCCTGCTCAGTGGGGAGCCTGCTTCTCCCTCTGCCTGCCATTCTCCCTGCCTGTGCTCTCTCTCTCAAATAAATTAAAAAAAAAAAAATCTTAAAAAAAAAAAAAAAGTACGACTATGAAATTTGGAGTTGGGCAGAGTGGGTTGAAATCCCTGTTCTGTCCCTTTCTTTGGGTACTACCAGCCTCACCTCTCTTATCTGTAAAAAGGGATTCATATCATCCACCTTAAAAGTTTGGAAGGATTAA